AACAGTGCAAGGACTATAGGACCAGAAACAAAATGGACACAGCATTTTTATTTCAGCTGTGTGTCTATCAGTCTGAAAAATGCTGAAAGTGCTATGACAGACTCGTTGAAATGACTGTAAAAGGCAGGAGTGGATATAACGCGGGATAGAAAACAGGCGTTGCTACCCATACATGCTTTCTTCGGCTGGCTATAATGTGGTGTTCGATTCCCTAGACAATCCTCTTCGACTGGAGAGAGGTGAGGGTCTCTCTCTTCTCTATCTCTTTCTCACTCTCTCGCTCTCTCTCTCTCTCTCTCTCTCTCTCTCTCTCTCTCTCTCTCTCTCTCTCTCTCTCTCTCTCTCTCTCTCTCTCTACCTACCTATCTATCTATCTGTCTGTCTGTCTATTTATCTATTTACCTATATCTATATCTATCAGTCTATCTATCTATCTTTCTATCTATCTATCTTTCTATCTATTTACCTATATCTATCTCTATCTACCGATCTATCTATATATCTCAATCCATCATTCTGCCTATCTATCGATCGATCTATCTAAAATAAATCCATGTAGAAAATTATGTACCAAACATTAGGTAGGTTTTTGAGACTGTGCAGCAATTTCAAACGTAATTAGTGAATTTATAATACTCTGGAGTGAAATGTATTGAACACAGCAGTGAGGTTCAACGAGTACTGAAAACAAACGTTCACGTCGTGGTGAAGGCTACTGGCTTTAAACGTCTCTATCTATCTGTGAATTTATGTGTTCATATATCTATTCATCTGCTCATCTGTCTATTCCGCACCCTCCACGCGCTCTCTCTCTCCTTATTTATTTATTTATCTACCTATCCATTAAATTATTTCTCTATATCCTCTCTGTCTGTCTGTCTGTCTGTCTGTCTTTCTCTCTCTCTCTCTCTCTCTCTCTCTCTCTCTCTCTCTCTCTCTCTCTCTCTCTCTCTCTCTTTATCTATCTATCTATCTATCTCTCGTTCTATTTCTTCCTCTCTCTCGCTTTATTTCTTCCTCTCTCTCCCTTTCGCCCTCTCTTCCTCTCTCTCTTCCCCTCCCAATTTCGCCTCCCTGTCTCTCTTAAAAGCTTACAGACAGACCCTACATTTTAAACAACGTCGAAACTTCTGCCACGTCCTTCCGAAACCAAAGACTCAAGGGACCGACTTTCTCCTCGTTGTGTGATCTCCGTAAACCGTTCTCACGCCTTGTCTAACGAAAGCGAGGTGCTTAAGTCCCGGGCGTTCCTGGGTACGGGGTGAGTACTGTGGCAGAGGACGAATCTCCCGCGCGGTGTCTCTCTCTCTCTTTCGTGAGGTTTCTAACGGGCAAGGTTTGCTGTGTTGAGGTACCGGAGAGACACAAGGGATGAAAGGGGAAAGTGAAGGTGATGCTCACTCGTTCTGTCTGTTTGGGTTCTTTCTCTCTCTCCCTCTCTCCCTCTGTCTGTTTGGGTTCTTTCTCTCTCCCTTTCTCCCTCTGTCTGTTTGGGTTCATTCTCTCTCCTCTCCCCCCCCTCTCTCTCTCTCTCTCTCTCTCTCTCTCTCTCTCTCTCTCTCTCTCTCTCTCTCTCTCTCTCTCTCTCTCTCTCTCTCTCTCTCTCATTCTGTGCCTCGCAACGTGCACAATGGTTCAATAGCTGGTGTACCAAAGTACGGAATTAAATATCGGGGCAGACATAATTAAAGCGGAGAGAGTGAAAGTAGAATTCTCCCCAGCAGTAATATACTACTTTTAGTCGTTGCAATATAATAGTTTCAGACTGCATATGGAGTAGTAATAATTGCAATGCTATTAACATTATTGCACATGTAATAGCTGAACCACTATAAGAGGACTGAAACTATTGAGCTGAAGATAAACATGATTAATGTTTGTTGTTCTTGTTTTTTTTTCTTTTACATGGTGTAATTATTCCAGAGATTATCATTAACGCCTTTTAACTGCATTCTGATAATGAAAAGCGAAAGAAGGTCAGTCCTACTATGAATTATTGAACTCATTAAAAAGTTTTAATTACGTTCTGGGGTTATACACTAATGGCCGACTAATTATGATCCAAAGGATACAAAATCACGTTCTTTCTTCCATGCATATTCACAAGTTTATCCCTTATGTATTATGATAATACGGAGGGATTATAACGAAAGGAAAAGCTTGTTCTTTCAATTAATCATCTGGTTTAACTTGTTGACTTAGCTATGTGTGTTTCGTCGATGGAAAATGGGGATTACTGGGTTTATATGAAGTAATAGGAGATAATGACGTGTGTTTCCATTAACTTGTCGTGTAGCAATCATTGTAACAGTTATGTTGATAGTGGTTGTGATGGTGATGGTGGTTGTAGTTATTGTTGTTGCTTTCTCTGTTGTTTATATGTTTGCTTATTTGTTTGTTTGTTTTTTTGTTTTTTATTTGTTGAATATCACTATGTAATCGTTGGTTTATTTTTTTTCGTTCTCGCTCCAGGAGGACGAATGCCGACCGTGGCAGCGAAAGGGGCGAATGCTCGAGCGAGACGAGACCTACGACTTCGTCTGCCCCGAGAACCGAAACGGCTTCTTCTGTGCCACCTGCAAGACCCTGGTCCAGTGCATCGACGGGAAGGCGTACCCAGAGCATTGTCGTTCTGGAGACTTCTGCGACCTGAGGCTGGACTTTGGCGGGGCAGTTTGTTACCCGAACCACCCCGTGAACTGTACCTGCCAAGAGGCAAATGCGTTTAGTAGCGATCTGTACAGTCAAGAGGACTATTTCTTCTGCAGGAAAGCCAACGAAGACCCCGAGATGCGCCAGTGTCCTCGCGGAGAGGTCTTTGACGAAGGTATATCCAGCTGCAGAAATAGATATTATCTGCCTGCATGCACGAGCATCGGCGTTTTCGCGAACCCCGCAAATTGCTCACAGTTTTACACGTGCATTTACAACATCAACGGTTGGATCCAGAGTCCGCATTCCTGCAACAACAGCACCCATTCCGGCCTCATGTACAACGAACAGACGGCGCAGTGCGAAGACCCTTGCAAGTGGCGCAACCTCGGGTTCACTTGCCAAAAAGAAGGCCGCTTCCCCGATCCTTTTGACTGCCGTCGGTACTTCGAATGCGTCCTGGACGCCGACAGATCCGCCTTCCGGCAGGTCCACCACACGTGCCCCGGCGAGTACACGTGGCATCCTTCGCTCCTCGACGGCTTCGGGCTGTGCGTCGAGGCGGCCGACAACACGGCCTGCGCGGCAGTGCTTCCGGTCTCGAAGTGCGTCGTCCCGGAAGACCGTTGCGCCGACAGGAGCTTCCGCAGGTCGCTCTCGGGGGTCGTCGGCGGGAACGGCACCGCCGAGACGCAGGCGATGATTCAGGACGTCAAGATAACCATCAGAGTCTTAAATCCTGACGGTGAGTTCTCTAGATTAATTTGTTATGAAAACAGCGTAACATAATTCACTTCTTAATGATACTTATAACTCGACAGAGTTGTAATAAACGGGGGAAACAACTTTTCAAGATCAAAAAGCAGAAGAAAAAAATAAATATCCTTAGGAAATGTTCCGACGAAAGAGAATAGAGTTTTGTGAGGCCCGGAAAGAAGTCGGTTTTTGCCAGCCTTTGCCACGACGGGCGCGAACGACGCAAAAAGACAAAGGTCCTGAAGAAGCGCCGAGAAACTAAACACTTTGTAGTCTCCTCGAGGGGAACGAACTCATTTCGGCGCCGCACGCACAAGATAATGAAACACGAGGCGAGTGCGAGCGAGGGCGTCCCACACACGTGGTTGGATCCCTCCCTCCCCCCTCCCCCTCGCCCTCCCCCTCCCTCCTTTCAACCGAAAGAAGCGAGGGAAGACGGAACAAAACTCGCGATTTCAAACGAGGCTCTTCCAAGAACGCCGAAAGCTCTCCGAAAGTGATTTGCTCCTTGACAAGACGCGGATCACAGCACGAGGCATTTTCTCATTATCGGTGCTTCGGGCGAGGATAGTGCGTCGCCTCGCCGGGACTGTGCTTCTTCCAAGTTTCTCGTTCGTTTCCCTTCAGTTCCTTTTTTTATATCGTGGTTAAATATGACATATGGCGCTTCAGTTGTTAACTTGCTGCTTAAAATATCTTCTAGTTGAGGATAGTAGGTAACCAAAATGGAAAATATACATTGCTTTTATCTTTTTAGATATTATTTGTGTTTGCATGTGGAGTATGAAAACCGACTGAATTTATGAACCGATGCAAGGTTCAAGTTCATAACCGACAGAAAGCTTCTTACAGTAGAGATCATCACCACATATTAGACTCATAAGAAAACTCACACCAATAGAGTCATTATAATAAAATTCACACCGCTAGAGTTAGCACTAAAATCACAACAAAACTCACATCAGTAGAATCACTGAGACTCACATCATGAGATTCATCATGAGACTCACATCATGAGTTTCATCATGAGACTCACCATGAGACTCACCATGAGACTCATCATGAGACTCATCATGAGACTCATATCATGAGGTTCATCAGTAGACCGACATCAACTTTATACTTCCATTCCCAAATTACCACTTTATTCCCCTTCCTCGTTACCGCCACCATTCCCAACACCTGACACCGTGACTATTACAATAATCGATCTTTCTCCCACCCCATAATCACCTTCAAATCCACGCCCCTTCCTCCAGAGCCGTGTCATCCAGCGTTCAATAAAGTCTTCAAGGAGTGTATCCACATCAGCGCGGACATGTTGCCCTGGGCTGAGGCACGGACGGCTTGTAGGTACATCGGCGGCGACCTGGCAACACCGAGGGATGTGAACGAACTGCAGGAATATATCAATGCGAAATCAGGTAATACGCTTACTGCCTGTGAACAAAACAACGAAGGGAAGCGCAGGGAGACACGCTAGAGGTCTATTTGGTTGAATTGCATCTTCGGAGTGATACAGAGAAGTGGCCGTCAGCGTAGAAGGGTGTTTTCCTGTCCTTGCTTTCGTTGTTTTATTTATTTGTTCATTGTGTATTCTTTACACTACTTTCTCTTTCAACTCACGTGTCATTTACACACTGCTAGTCTCTTAGTATTTGTTATAGTAATAAATACCGTATCCTGTGTCTCTCAGAATGACGTGACAATATTGTTAAACATTTAAGAGATCAATACGTCAGTTCCGAAAGCAATAAAGATAATTGGACAGTTGAATAACAGCTTGATAACAATCGGTTATTACAAGAATTAATGACGTAATACGCACATATGGACAGCGTAAACTACATTTAAATATCATATCAAAAATAGCAACGAACGCTCATTCCATCGCATAAAAACAGGATATCAACTTGATTTTATTGTAGTCCCAAATGTTGGCTTAACATTAAAACGCAATAAAGTATTGTGGCTCTATAGTGCAGGTTCTCATTTATAAAATTCGCTATATGCAATTCTAATCCGACAAACTGCCAGAAAAGACAATTCAATTTTACATGCGCATTTCACGAACGCCAACGGCAGAAATAAAAGTTTTATCCACACGAAATCACTTGGTGGAAAATGTTTAAAATGAACAAGCTTTTTTGGGAGTTTTTTTTTAGTTATTGAAATCTAAGAGGAAGAAAAGAGTTGTAAGATGGTTGCTCTTTCGTCTCCTTGCCCACTTACCCCCTGCCCCCTATCTTTGCCCTATAGTCCCCCCCCCCTCCCTCCTGCCCTCATGCCCAATTTGCCCACTTACTCCTTTGTTCCTATGCCACCTCACCCCCCCCCCTGCTCACTTACTCCCCTACCGCCATGCCCACTTACACCTCCTCTCCCTCTTCCCTTCCCCCATGCCCCTTGCCCACTTACCCACCTGCCTCTTTGCCTAATCTCTACCCCACTCACGCCCTTGCCTCTTAACAACCATACCCATTAATTCTCTACTTATCCCTATATCCTCTTTCCCCCTTGTCTCCTATGCCTCACCCCTTGCCCCCATACCCACCCACCTAACCCCTCTTACCCACCCCATAACCTCACCCCTTGCCCCTATACCCACACCCACTTCACCCCCCCGCCATACCCTCTTACCTACTTACCACCATACCCACGCCCACCTCATCGCACTTACCCCCTAGCTCCCATACCCTAACCTAACCCCCCATATACCCCCTCGCCCCCATCCCGCACCTCACCCCCCCCCCCCCACCATTAACTCCCCTTTCACCCCTTAGACGCCAAATACCTGTGGCTGGGCGGGACAGACGCCGACGACGAAGGTAACTGGAGGTGGCTGTCGGGTCGCGCCGTCAACGCCTCCCTCTGGAGACCCGGGAAACCCGACGGAGGCAGACTGCAGAACTGCCTCGTGCTCGCTGCCGCCCACACGCCCCCGCTCGATGACTACTTCTGCTCCACGGCCTTCAGCTACGTGTGTCAGTACTACTAACGGAGCGATGGGAGGAGGAGGAGGGGGAGGGTGTACTCGTAATTTATGGTATTATTGTTAGTATTGTTACTGTTGTTGGTAGTCATAGTTTCATTCCTAACGTTTTTATTGTTACTATCACTATCGTCATCTCTATCAATAGTATTAGTACCACTGTTGCTCTCATGATCTCTATGATGTTATCATTATCATCATAATCATCGTCATCAACATGATTATCACCTCCATCATTATCACTACCATCATTGTTATTATCACTATCATCATCATCCATAACTGTATTATCATTATCACGATTATTTTTGTTATTGTTTACCCTCTATTTACCTACACCCCCCTTGGCTGATATGGTATCTGAAAGAAAATACAGAATTTCATTTATTAAAAGAGAGAACGATTTTCGAAATTTCGTTGTTTTACTCGACCAGTAACAAGGAATTAGGAAGAACAGCGCAGAGTATATTAATGCGAGTGAAGTATGTTACTATGAGTAGAGTATACTAAAAGAACTAGAATTTGCCATAAAGTATATTGTCATGAGTAAGATATAGCACAGGAAGTAACCTTTAACTAAACTATTGGAAGGAAATTATACTGTTTTGACTAAGGTATAACTTGATAAATGAAATATGATTTTGCGAATAAGTAAACAAGTATGGAGATAGTATATTATAAGTGAAATATACAATCACGAGCAAAATATACTTTCAGGAGTCAAGTATCACAAGTGAAGTAATCTATTATGAGAATATACTGACGAGTAAGATATACTGACTAATAAAATAAACTGACGAGTGAAATATAGTGACTGGTAAAAAGATACTGAAAAATAAGATATACGAAAGAGTAAATTATTCTGACGAGTAAAACATACTCAGGTGTAAAATCTACAGATGAATAAAATATACCAACGAATAACATATGCGGACGAGTAAAGCATACCAACATATGGAATATACCAACTAGCGAAATATATTGACAATCAAAACACACTGACGAGTGAAATATACTGACAGTTAAAATACACTGACAAGTGAAATATACTGACAGCTAAAATATATTGACGAGTAAAATATACTCACACTTAAAAGATA